GATTAAGTGGTGTGTAGATAATGGATGGTCAAGACTGACCAGCAGAAACCAGTCTGACCACCTGCCTCTGGTCTCCAGGTGAGCAGGAACTCTGATGAGGAGTGGAGTCACCTGAGCTCCAAAGAGGTCGACCCGTCCACAGGGGAGCTTCAGTCCCTGCAGGCTCCTGGGGCCCAGCAGGGACCAACAGGTCTGAGGGAGGCGGCCCTGTACCCCCACCTGCCTCCAGGTAAACCTCTGTCCTTCCTCTGATGTCTGTCATGTTTGCCCCGCCCTCTCTGACCTGTGACTCCGCCCACAGAGGCAGACCCTCGCCTGGTGGAGTCTCTGGCCCAAATGCTGTCGATGGGCTTCACTGATGAGGGCGGCTGGCTGACCCGCCTCCTTCAGGCCAAGAACTTCGACATCGGAGCCGCTCTTGATGCCATCCAGTACGCCAGGCAGCCCTGATGACATCATCACTACCGACGCCGTCGTATACTTGAAACAGTATGAAACGGTGTCCTTTATCTCTGAGTTCTTGCTCCGTCAGTGTTAATCAATAATTTTACTAATCGATGACTGTTAAACACTTTTACTGCCTGATTCTTAATATTTTTACTCACTGATGACAATACTTTTACACACTTGAACTTGTTCTATGGCACGTATCCAGGTTGTTTTGTCCTGATTAGATCCTTGCTTGTTGTATCTGCTCTCTGATGTACGGTACTCTGGATAAAAGCATCTGCTGCATGAAACTGTATAATTGTACTAATTGATGCCTGCTAAGCAATAAATTAACTCATTGATGACTGTACCACTTTCTCATCTTTAATAGTTTGTCTGACACTTTCTGTTATAAATAAAACAAACATTAATTTTAAACTGATTCACCGAGTCACGTTTTAAACAAACTGATGTAAACAAACAAGGCAGATAAACAAACAGGCCTCCTGCGTTCTACATGTGTTCTCTTTAAACCCTCTGAAGTGTCAGAAAGTCGTCGTCGTCGAAGCTGAACTCCTCGCCGCTCTCAAACATGGAGGAAGCAGGAAGCAGGGGGCGGGGCTCTGGAATGTTAGGGAGGGGCACTGCAGTGGCTCCACCTACACCCTGGCTCCACCCACCCACAGACGACCCCTCTGCCCCCTGAACCTGACAGTCAGTACTGAGGAAACGAGCCCACCTGGAGGCTGGACCAGAGCTCACACTGGGAAGACTGGTGTCCTTACTGGGAAGACTGGCGGCCTTACTGGGAGGACCAGTGTCCCTCCGACTGGGAGGACTTGTGTTCCTCCGACTGGGAGGACTGGTTCCTCTCCGACTGGGAGGACTGGTTCCCCTCCAAATGAGAGGACTGGTTTCCCTCCGACTGGGAGGACTGGTTGTGGCTGAAGGCCTTTGAGGTTTCCTCTTTAGACAGTTTTGCTACACAGAAGAAAAACAAGACAAAGACGAGAACCAGAAGAGGAAGACAGAGAGTCAGTCTGATTCTTCAAAGAAACAGTCCAACATCCATTTTTTGTTTTTCTCTTTTCCTCTCTACAGACTAGTTAGCGTAGCTTAGCACAAAAGTTGGAAACAGTGTGTTGCTTGGTGACGTCAGCATGTTACCTGGTCAGGTGTGCAGCTGTCCTCTCGCCTGTCCGTCCCCTCCTCGGTTCTCTTTCTTTTCCTATCAGAAGGAGGTTAAAAGTGAGACAGTATGACTCTCTAACTACTTATTTCTGTGCTCATCAGACCACTTTTGGTCCTGGTCCAGGTCTGGTGTTGTGTTGGTGCTGGCTGCTCAATGTTTTAAAGGTGCCATGTGATGAAAATCCAGTTTTATTGTGTTGTGTGGTTGCTGAAACTCAAACCATTTCAGACATGAGGATGTTACTTCTGCAGCCCGTCCACAGCTATTTAGCCCCCCAGGTTTACAAACCAGTAAGCATGTGACCCAGGCGCTAACTAACCCATAGTGGACCAGCGTCATATAGCCCCGCCCCCTCACTGCTTCCAGGTGACCCATTAATAATGAGCAGCTGCCTCAGAGTGTAGCAGGTTTATCTCCTTTCTAACGCTGCTTCTACTCACTCTAAAATGTCTGAGCAAAACTACCAAATGTTCTGCTGTTGGCTGCAAGAGTGACCACAAGAGTCTTCATACACTCCCAGCATCTGAGAAACTGAACACCCAGTGGATTACTTTTATTATTGGTGGCAATCTCTCCACAACGATAGGAGAGGTGGGTTACTGTTTTCATGTCATCTAATGTGCTTCAGTTCAACCCTAAACTCATCTTCTGCCATCTGTGCTCCCATAAACTGCATTTTAATGCAACTGAATTCTCAATAAATCTGTTCTCATTTACATATTTTCTTGTTTCTGTTGTCAGACAGCAGAACGAGGAGGAAACACTGACTGAAATGCAGCAAATTAAGACTACATGTTGACCGGCAGTCACTTCAGAGCCCTATGCTAGCTGAAGTAGCCCGTATAGAACAGGATTAAAACCAGGAGTTCTACAGTCATGGAGAAATCTACCATCTCTCAGGTGAAACATCGACAGAGTATAGAAACACACCTATAATGATGGATAGGTGGGCGTGGCCTCCAACAAAGTAAAAACACTCTGAGGTCACCTGTCAGTCATGTTGTTGCCATGGAGCTGTTGCCTGTCCATCAGAACATTCCACTCAGGCTCCTCCTCCTCTTCCAGCTCCGCCTCCTTGGGTGCGTCCAGGTATTTGCTCCAGCGGCTCACCTGAGTCTCTGTCACCTGCAGAAGCGAACAGAGGTGAGGGAGTTCACAGGTCCAGTTTCACAACTTTGACAGGATATTTTTGACTTCTAAAGAAGAAACACCTGTCTCTCCTGGTCGTCTGCCTGATCCGGCTCGCCTGTCTCCACCTGCTCCCTGGAAACCAAAAACATCAAAGAGACATGATGAAATGTGATGTAAGCAGAGGTGGACTATGAAGGCTGCAGTGTGCTGTGTGATGGCTGGTCACCATAGCAACCAGGTGTTGTGCTCCTGCTCCTCCAGCATGGATCCTCTCATGGCGTTCAGTTTCTGAACATGACGTCGGCAGTCGGCCCCGGAGCCCCGCCCATACTCCTGTCAATCAATCAGTTCATCCAATCAAAGCTAATTTAATGTCAGATGATATAACAGGTAATCAAATAGGAAAAAATATTGGATCAGTTCCTCTGCTGATTGATCTACACTGATCATACAATCAGACGAAATGACACCAAGCAATAAACACTAAATATTAGATAACAGCACAAACCAAACGATAGACACAAAACTAACAACAAATACAAAACAATAAACATAAATACAACCTACTTGTGTCATTGTTTACAGAGTGAAAGTTGTATTCTAACCTTCAGCAGCGACTGTTTCTCTCCACACAGTTTACAGCTCCACCTGTTTGCCTTCTTCACCTGACAGACACAGCACAGGGCAAAAAACACACGCCTCACTGATCAGGATCGCAACAAGTCAACAAAAACTCTTAATAATCTATAAACACTATTGATCTCCTGAGGGCACAGCTTCAGTGACATGTAGGATTAACGATGAGCTGGTGACCTGTCCATGGTGTCCCCTGCCTTCACCCTGAGTCAGCTGGGATAGATTCCAGCCCCCCGCGACCCTAGTGAGGACTAAGTGGTGTGTAGATAATGGATGGATGGATGATTAAATTAAACATCTTCAGTATGGAGAGACGTTACAGGGCTTAACAAATTTATTAGACCACCTGTCATAAAAATGAGAAAACATAAATATTTTACAAGTCTTTCAAAAATTAGTTTAAAACTGAAAAATATATTATTTATTTGGCAAATTACAAACTGAAACAACTAAATGGTCCTTTTTCTATTTTTCTATTGATTATTATTCTTGTATATAATATATGTTATATTGATTTTAAAAAAAAGAAAGAAAAAAAAAAGAAAGGTGAGCTTTTACAGGATTGAATTTCCCTTCTGGGATGGATAAAGTATTTTTCATTTCATTTCACACATAATAACCAAAAAAACGTAATATTTTGTACGGCCTCCTTTGACCTTCATAACAGCAGCATTCTTGCTGGCATTGTTTTTATGGACTTTTCAACAGTCTCTTTTGTTCTTGAGTTCCAGGTAGTTTCTAGCTGTTCCCACAGACTTGCTTTAGATTAAACTTTTGTGCGATCAATCTTTGACTGTACTACATCTCAAATGTGTTCAATAGGATTCAAATCCAGACTTGGCCAGTCCATCAGTTGCAGAACTCTAGATTCCTTTTTCTTGGTCAGATAGTCTCTGCAGAGCTTTGAAGTCTGCTGGGCTCATTGTCTTGTTGGTATATGAACCCACGACCAATCAGATTCAGTCCAGAAGGGATTCCATGGTGCACTAAGGTGTTGTCGGTAGACGTTCTTGTTCATGATACTGTCGATTTTCACTAATTTGTCCACATCGTTCCCACAGATGGAGTCCCATACCATGATGGAATCTCCTCCGCGTTTCACTGTGGGTGCAATCCATGTGGCATCAAAACGTTCTCCAGCTTTTCTGCAGACATAAACACGATGATGCTGACCAACGAGTTCAAACTTGGACTCGTCTGTCCAGAGGACCTTCTTCCAGTCATCAACAGTCCAGTGTTTGTGCTCCCTGGCAAATTGGAGGCGTTTCTGGATGTTTGCAGGCCTCAATAATGGCTTCTTAGCAGCTATTGCAAGTAAATAACTATAATTTGACATCAATCAAGATATAATAATGTGCTTTTTTATTATTATTTTTTTAAAACAGTAAATTTGAAAATTCATGGATAACAATAATAATTACATTTTAAAAATATCATTTTGGTTAAAGAGCTTGTACATACGGGTGTATTAACCACTACAGAAACACAAAACATGATGTTGGTAATTATCAATGCTGTTAATTTAGAGCAGCTGTGCCATAAACCTGACATTGGGTGGTGGTCTAACACATTTGTTAAGCACTGTATATTCAGCAAAGTAAGAACTGCTGGATGTGATCAAACTGGTGTTACTGCAGCAGACAGATGTTGTTTCTGCAGTAATCTCATCTACCATGTCCTGACTTTTCACATGTAAACAGCGGGTTTTAAATGTCCAGAATCTACTTCCAGACAATTAGTTTCCTTCAGTATCAGAGTGAACGTGGTCTTTACTTCCTGACGCACTGCGGACAGCAGCTGACAGCTCAGAACTCCGTAAAGAATCTGTCTGATTTTAGTTTCCTAAAATGTCATTGATAACGATCAATACATTTAAACACACTGCAACTGTTAGCATGTTAGCCATTCTCGCGGTATTTCATCGTTACCTGTTGCACCTGGAAGGTTTGACAGGAGAAACACCTGACGACGTGGAACTCCTGAACCATGGTGGCCAGGTAACAGACGCTCCAGTTCTGTTCTGTTCTGGTTCTGTTCAGGTTCTTTCGGTCCTCGTTTTCGCGGGTCTGTTTGAACCGCGGCGATACGTCACACAGCAGCGACCGGCGGACTGCTCCTTCTTCTTCTTCGCTGATGTTTTTGACGGTTGGAGCACAGTACATTTGGCGCATCATTACCGCCACCAGCTGGTTGGAGTTTGGATCACAGTGTCTGTATTTACTCTGTTGGTGAAACTAGCTTTACCTCTGAACAACCAGCCAACAGGATGAAGGCAGTTTGACATATTAGTGATCATACAAAGCTCCCACTACTTTTCACACAGTTCTGTAAACGAGAGCCGCTGTGATGGGACTTCAACTGTATTAAAATGCAGCTTATGTGAGCACAGGGACGCTAACAGGAGTGACCAGCAGCTGAGTTTAGGTTGAACTGAAGCTCAAAAGGTTTAAGGTCTTTATTTAGGTTCCCCCGTGTTGGCGACAGGACAACACAGCAACCCACCCAGTCCTTGTTTATTGGTTTAAATTAAAGTTTCCACCATCTCTGAATGTCCCTTAGTGTTGAGTTTCCACAGAGCTCTGACCTGTGGGTGTATCATCAAAGCTAACATTAGCCACATCGGTAGCACAACATGCTAACACTGAGCATTTTCCTGTTGTTGTGGGGACAATAACAACACTAAGCAACACTGCCTCCAGACTTTGTGCTAAGCTACGCTAACCAGACTAAATAGAATTGGAATAAAAGTACTTTTTTAATCCCCAGTCGGAAATTCTGAACATTAATATTAATTAATGATGAATTAGACTTGAATTAAACTTTTTTTCTTGTTTTCTTTTTTGCAGCTTAACTGATGATTAGACCTCCAAGATCATCAGCCACAAACAGTCCCCCTGGTCAAAGGGGCCACATCTTACACAGGTGGAACACAGGTAGAACGCAAGTAGAACCCAGGTGGAATGCAGGTGAAACACACATAGACACACGTGTTGTTTATCTGGCCTTGTTTTTTTTCACACATGTTGTTTGCTTGTCTGCCTCACCTATTTACATGTTTGTTTATCTGCCTTGTTTGTTTATGTGTTATTTAAAACATACGACTTTGATTGAGTTTAAACTTATAGCTTTTTATTGACTAACAGAAACTGTCAGACAAAGATGAGAAAGCAGTACAAACAGTCATCAGTAAGTAAAAGTAGTGATTAACAGTCATCATGGAGTAAAAGCATCGATTAACAGTCATCAATGAGTAAAAGTAAAGATAAACAGTCATCCACTGACAGATCATGAGCTCAGAAATAAAGGAAACAGCTTCGTATTGTTTGACGTATATGGTGATGTCAGCAGTGACGTGGCGATGATGTCATCAGGGCTTTGGAGGGGGCTGCTTGGCGTACTGGATGGCGTCGAGAGCGGCTCCGATGTCGAAGTTCTTGGCCTGAAGGAGGCGGGTCAGCCAGCCGCCCTCATCAGTGAAGCCCATCGACAGCATTTGGGCCAGAGACTCCACCAGGCGAGGGTCTGCCTCTGTGGGCGGAGTCACAGGTCAGAGGGGGCGGGGCAAACATGACTGACATCAGAGGAAGGACAGAGGCTTACCTTGAGGCAGGTGGGGGTACAGGGCCGCCTCCCTCAGACCTGTTGGTCCCTGCTGGCCTTCTGTCAGGGGCTCCTGGTCCTGTTCCCTGGGCTGCAAGGACTGCAGCTCCCCTGTGGACGGGTCGACCTCTTTGGAGCTCAGGTGAGTCCACTCCTCATCAGAGTCCCTACTCACCTGGAGAAGAGAGGCAGATGTACTGGTTAGACTGGTTTTAGATACACTAACCAGGTTTATTATTATCATTTCTGCTTTCAGGTCCTAAAAGTAAGTCTGTGACTGATCAACATAAAACTGGTAAAACATAAAGTTGCATTAATGAGTCTGAATATTTGTAAACAGGCTGTAAACAGTAAATAAATTATTATTTCTGATGATGAAGACGGACTGACCTTTGACCCCTGGTTGGCCCCATCCTCTCCATTGCCTCCCCCCTCACTGCTGGCTCCATCCATCTCCACATCACCCTCTGCCCCTTCACTTGAAGAGGGTGGGGTTACCTTTGTCCTCTGGCCTTCATGCTCCACGTCGATGTCCACATCAATACCTGCACACGAGATTACTTCCCGTTTAGACCAATCTAGACCAGTAATTTCCCAGACTGGGATAAATAAAGTATTTTTCTATTCTTCTATTCTCAGTCTAAAAACAGCTACGAACAGAACTTAATGATCTGAGGAGTGACATCACTCACCCAGTGGGCTCAACATGGCGGCCACACCTTCTCCAATGTTCTTCAGGAAGGCCATGTTGGCCTGAGAAGCTGCAGATAAAGGTCAGAGGTCACGGATGATGTCATTTTAGCAGGGGCAGTTATCTGTTTATGCAGAATCACACTGACCAGAGGGGGCACTGCAGTCAGCTGCAGGTCTGGAGGTTCCTGCTTGGTCCTTGTCCTGGTCTTGGTCCTCGTCCTGGTCCTGAGCCTGAGCCTGGTTCTGGTTCTGGTTTTGGTTCCACATGCAGTGTCTCATTCTCTTCATCCACTTCCCTCGAGGAAACCACTGTAAAAGCAGGAAAACCTCAGAGTCCTGACAGTCACAGCGTAGGGCTGAGTCATCGCGTAAAACATGATGTTTGTCATGTTTCTAATCGATAATTAGTAATCTATTTTCTCTTTATTTAATCTGAAATGTATTTATTTAAACATTTGATCTAATCAGTGCATTTGTGCCAATAAAAGACCGCAGAACTGAATGTGATAAATATTATCAATGCCACTGCCAATATTAATACCGATATATCAATATTATAATCAAGTTTATCAATGTTATATCAATATACAAATATCAATGTTAATATTTTCAATACATTATTAATACTATTCTCAATATATTAGTATTGTTATCCATAATATTACCAGTATTTTCCATCAGTCACTCTGATGATCACAGTGTTCCATTAAACACTCGCTTGACATCAGCTCACTGCAGTGATGTCACACTGTGACATCATCAGAGGGCATGGTCAGAGCTTACCTCTGGCATCCTCACCTGCAGCGGGTGCCAGATGGGCAGGAGCGCGTGCTCAGTGTGCGTCCCGCGGGCCTGGCAGGTGGAGCACAGGTCGTAGTTCGGGCAAACGGAACACTTGAAGCGCGTCCCGATCACGGCGCCATCGCAGCCATCACAGGTGACATTAGGGTGAAGGACTGGGGGCGGGGCCATGTGAGGTGGTGGGGCATGGGGAGCTCCAGGTGGAGGTGGAGGGGGGCCGAAGGCGAAGGGAGGGAAGGCATGAAGAGGGAAGTCCCGACGGTGCTCCTTTTTCTCTGAAAGAGTTCCACAAAACGTTATCAACAGGCGTGGATGAACGGTAACTGTTGCAGGTGTGACATAGATGTGTTACAAGTGTGTTACAGGTGTATTACAGGCATGTTGCAGGTGTGACTCAGACATGTTACAGGTATGACCTAGGTGTTTTGCCGGTGTGTTACATGTGTGACAAAGGTGTGTTGCAGGTATGTTAGAGGCGTGAACAGCGTGCATGCTCAGACCTTTGATGAAGAGGCGGAACGTGGCGTCCTTCATACAGCCCAGACCCATCATCAGCTCATCGTCAGAGGAGAACGCCACCAGGTCTCCATCTTCATCTGAAACAGCAGCAGGATGACATCACACCTGTTCTCAAGTAAACACCACCGTGCCACAGTTTACAGTAAAAACAAACCTTTACCTGTTTATTGTGAAAACCACATATCACCTCTAACCCACCCACACTTTTATCAAGAAAGGTTCATAAAATAAAGGAGGTTGATTCAGGTGAACGGTCACTAGCTAACCTGTTACCTCACACCTGAGCAGCTCCCCACTGACCCTGTGGTATCTGAGCCGAGCGGCTCAGGTGTGTGCTCACCTCTGTAGAACAGGTTGAAGCTGGCGCTCTTCAGGTTGCTGAACACACTCGCGGTCTTCTTGCTCAGATACTCGAAGCTGCAGGACACGTCCTGATCCACCGCGAACCTCCGGATCTCCTTCACCGACTCTTCCTTCCCCAACAGGTAGGCCTTTACCGTCACCGACATCGCCGAACAGGACCGAACTCAACCGTGAATCGTGAAGAAAAAGTCGCTGCTGACCGCTCTCAGTGAGCCAGACTCCGGGCAGAAACTCTTGCTGCTGACCGCTCTCGGTGAACCAGACTCCGGGAGCAAACTCCTGCTGCTGACCGCTCTCAGTGAACCAGATTCCGGGACAGAAATCAGACACTTTCAGACCGTCAGAACTTTGTGACGCAGCGTTAAATCTCTCGGCTTCTTAATGTTTACTTCCGCGATAAACGACGCCGTCGTCACAGGAATAAACAATGACGCGGCCTCCCATTGGTCCGCGCTGAGAGTCCCACCCCATCGACCAATGGGAGGCCGAGGAATGACAAAGTACTTTTCCAAAGAGGGAATTTCCCCTGAGTCACCGGACTAGCGGGTCAGCTGACTAACGAGGCTCGAACTGATTAAAGTTCATGTAGAATAATGGCAAGTCATCCTTACGAAACAAAAAGGAGGACTGTCCAGTACAACTTCAACTGTCAGCATTCACATATAAACACAGACCCAAATACTGAAGTTCAGTGTAAACACAGAATGGTTCAATAAAGTTTCATGTGAACACAGATACGTTTGATAAAGTTTCGTGTGAACACATACAGGTTTGTTGATATTGAATTTATAAAGACATGCGCAATAAAGTGTAAACAAATACAAGGTTCATTAAGTTTATTGTAAGCGCAAGGTTAATAGTTTAATATAGATATAGTTTTGTTGCACGTGAACAGTAAAATTTGTTAACAGATTTGATTTAATGCCTGTTTAATGTAAACACAGGCTGGTTCAGTCACAAATAAGGTGAATACAGTCATGTTTGATCAAGTTTAATGTACACACAGGCAGGTTTAATTAGGTTAGATTTAAATGGACTATTTTAATAAAATTTATTGAAAACAAATACAAGTTTAATAACGTTTAATGTAAACAGACAGGTTTAATAACGTTTAATGCCAACACAGCCAGGTTTTAAAAAAGACAAAAAGAAAAGAAAGAAGAAACGTAAACATAGATAGGTTTAATAGAGTTAACTGTAAACAAAAACAGTTTTAATAAAGTCACATATAAACTCATAGGTTTAATTAAGTTAAATGTAAATACAACTGCAATTGAATGCATATCATTCCTATTGATTACATACTGATTACAGCTTTTGATTAAAAAAAGATGCTTAGAGAAGAAAATTACACAGTTTAAGTTCTCTCAAACTGAACTGCATAAACCTTGAACTATTTATTATTGGTCTCTGGGTTTACTTTATCATTGATTATTGATCATTAACTGTACTAAATTTAGATTTTTGAAGCCTGAACCCTAAGTTTTGAATTTAAAAAGAGGAAGAAAAAAGACTTAAATGAATTTTGTTTAACTTTGAACTGAACATGCATTTTCTGCTCTAAACATTAAATGCTGACATTTTATATTTGTTTCAATAAACAGGATTTTTGCTTTTTTTTGGTTTTCATTTATTGCTCTTTCATCTCTTGCGGCAGCAACTCACCCCAAACCAAGAGAGAGCAATGCACGGGTTCTGACAGAGAACCATGACTCCTGTCCTGCCCTAGCGCTGCTGAAGGTTGTGGTCTGATAAGACAACAGAATTGTATTATCTGTAATCTAAAATAAACTGAAATAACTTGAAAAAACAACAACATACTTATCTCTAGTACCCAAAATGATTTGAAACATTCTGAATTAACGAGAAGTTCATAGTTCGTGTTTTGTTTTGAAAGAACAGAAACTTTCTCTGTGGTTTATTTCTCTTTGAACTTTCCCCTCAGGTTTGCTGTTATTTTTTTCCCTTTCCAGATGTTTCCAGGTGTGTCATCAGTGAATCTTCTGCCAGCCAATCAGCCTCTGAGCTTTGGTCAGGTGACAGTGAGTCATCCACCTTGTGACAATGATTCACAGTCACAAGAGGAGCTCAGCAAAAACAAACTGACCCAATGTCCCAGAGTGCAACACTCTGCTGCTGGGAAATGAAGTTTAACAACAAAATAGAAACAACACAGGATCTCTGTCAGTTTAATTCATTTCCACCAGCAGAGTAACTGAGTACATTTACTCAAGTACAAGTAACAGGTTTGTTCTGACTGCGATAAATGAACTACACTGATCTGGATCAAAGAAAAAAGAACAACTGATCCATGAAGTCAATAGAATTTATTTATACTTTTACACATGAATATAAAACAGACAAAAACAAATCATAGCTGAAAACTTAAGATAAACTCAGAAATATAATCAATACATCTCATTCAACGGATCAACCCATCAATCGTTATTCATCTTTAACCAAAACGCAGCTCCGGCTCAAGTTCCACGTAAAAGGATCCAAAATGTTTCAGCAGCAAACAATATCTGATGATGTCACTGCCATCGGACTCTACCAGCATCCAATGGGAGCGCAGCAGAGTGGGGATGTCAGATGTAGAGGGGGTGGTACTGGCGGCAGGTGAGTTTCTTCCTGCAGGTCGGACAGGTGTGTGAGGACGTCAGAGCATCTCTCAGGCACTGACTGCAGAACACGTGACCACACCTCGTGGCAACAACCAATCGGCCGCTCTCGACGATCTGTGGAGGACACAGCAGCCAATCAAAGCGCAGCACATTCAAAGCTGCTCAAACCAGCCAAACCAGTAACCTGTAAGCTGCAGCGCAACCTCAGATATTTATAGTATCCAACAGGTGTAGAATCATCTAAACATCATATGATTGTAATCTGTATCCCTCACAGTAATCAGATTACTTCTGAGTAAAACAGTAGAATATTTGCACTAATGTCAGATTAAAAACTACCAGTTTAGATTTACTATATTAGAAATTCAGGCCCCACAGTAGGAACTCAGTGCAGCAAAAGTCAGTCCACCTTTATGTTTGATGACAGACTTGATCCACCTCAGCATGGAGGACACTAGAGTCCACGAATTTCTTTACAGATGTTCCCACATTCTTCACACACTACTGTTCTCATCTGCTCTCTGCTGGAGGGGCTGTGTTGCTCTACCTGTCTCTGTATAATGGCCCAAAGATGTTCTGTTGGATTGACGTCAGAACACATATTGCAGACTGGGAGTCACCTTTCGAGCCAGTATTTTGGTTTATCTACAGACATTCATGGTGCATTGATTTTCAAAATTTTAGTCTTTCTAAAAAGTTTTGTTTTTTAAGGTTCATCAGAATAAATACTCTTCTGCTCTATTTAGAACAGTTAGCCTCACCTCAGAGTACACGTCCAGACAGACGGGGCAGCTGATCGTCCCTGGAGTCGACCTGAGAAACACAGAATGTGATGAGGATTCTCACCTGTACTCACACCTGATTGGAAACACTACTGTTCTAATGGCAGCCTGGGATCCGTCTATTACCTGGCTCTGTATCATGTCAGCAGTGATCCATCTATTCCCTGGCACTGGTATTGTGCTAGTAGGGATCAGAGTAATACCTGGCACTCATATCATGTTAGCAGGGATCAGTCTATTACTTGGCTCTGGCATCTGTTAGCAGGGATCAGTTTATTACCTGGCTCTGTATCATGTCAGCAGTGATCCGTCTAGTACCTGGCACTGGTATCATGTCAGCGGGAATCAGTCTATTACTTGGCTCTAGCATCACGTTAGTAGGGATCAGAGTAATACCTGGCACTGGTCTCATGTTAGCAGGGATCAGTTTATTACCTGGCTCTGGTATCATGTCAGCGAGGATCAGTTTATTGCTTGGCTCTATTGTCATGTTAGCAGGGATGAAGGTAATACCTGGTGGTGTGTGCAGATGACACACTGGCAGCACCGAGGACAGGTGGCGTGTCTTCATCTTCATCGCTGCTGACAACATAACTCTCCCCTGCAGGGACTCTCCTGTTCTCAGGACCTGATGTAGGACAGCCAAAAATGCCCCTCTAATCAAACCTCATGTGGACAAACTGCATCTGAGATTGTTTCATTACAGGTTTTTAATTCATGAATAATCTGTGAAACACAAAGGTTTACCTTCATCCAACAGCTGACCCACCACAGCAGCAGAAACAAGAGAAAAACAACAGGTATGTTAGATATGACGGACTAACTGAGCGGCAAACAGAACGGTCAGTGTGTGTTGTTACCAGTACTGAATCGTTGTTGGTCGTCAGGTCAACCACAGTAGCTTCTGATCCCTCACAGGTCAGATCCACCACCTCCTCCACACCTGAACACAGCAGGTAGTATCAGTCAGCTCTCTATAACCCATATCTTCAATGTGAAAACATGTTTCTGCAAGTTTAGTGAGTTAAAAAAAAAAAACAAACAAAAAAAAAAAACATACATACATACAAGCTGCTCCTGGATCAGTTCATTAGTTTAAAGTTGGTAATCAGAGACCTACACCTTGTAAACTTTAGTAGCATGAGCAGTCTTAGGTGGATTAGCTGCCTTAGCCACATTAGCAGTTCAACACTCAGCTCCTGGCCTAGGCTAGCTTTTGAAAATCCAAGCTTAGCATCATTAGCATGAGCCTCAGGTAGATGGCTAAACCAGACAGACACCTTTTACAGCCTGACACTGCAAAATTCATCAATACGATGCCACAGTTGGCAGGTAAACAGCAGGAAGTTCTAGTTTTATGGACTCTTGGCAGCAGTCAGCCTGCACAGCTGTTAGTCCACCTCATTGAACAGTAAGAGTACAATCTAGTACTACAGCTAATCTACGATACATTTACTGATTGGCATCTCCTTCTCTTGCTGCTATATTGTTCATATATTTTCATTGGATTATTCTAATTATTTGATTAACACTTAATCAATAACATCCCTAGTATGTGTCATGGTTGATCATGTGTCTGTGAAACACAATATTGACAGGTACTGACTGTCCTCAGTGCTGTCCATCACATTAATGGTCTCTGTGGGGGGGGCGGTGTCACCATCAGATGCCCAGCTAGCCGTCCGGCTAGCTGCTCGGTTAGCGCTAGCCGTCCTCCTAGTGTTAGCTGCCCTGCTGGTCTTGGTACTGGGTCTAGAAACCAGAGGACTTCCTGAGGTCCTCCTCTTCCTCTGAGCCTGAACACACACCACAACACACACTTATGACATCACTGGTGGGGACGGGGCTTAATCAACCTGAACAAGTGACGTAATCAGCAAAGATCTTGATAGCAGAGTTTTTGGTTGGGACAGAGAGCTGCTCAGAGTCTCTACAGAACAGAACATCTCATGTTCAAAGATCCAATCAACACAATCAATAACAGCAGAGTTCAATCACTCATTGAAGAAAAGATACTTTGACCTGATCAACAAGTGCACATGACAGCAACCAGCCACACAGACAGAGTATCTGACGTCATGTAGGACAAAGTGGCAAACCAATAATCTGTAGTAAACTGGTGGTAAGACAAAGTGATGATGCAGGTTTTAGACTGGTGCTTCAGCTTAAGCTACAATCTGTCAAAAGAAGAGGAAAACTTACAGAGCTGCTCATGTCACTGAGGAGGCTGAGGAGAAGAAACAGAGACTCAGGGTTAATGACAGGTACACCAAGTCGTACAGTGTTTACTGATGAGGCTGAACTGGTCTGTGTGACAGCCACACCTTATTGAACAGGTTATCTGTAGCATTTATGCTTCATGAGTGCCTTAAGGTGAAGCATTCTGTCATTCTGACCTAATGGTCCTCACAGCTTCATTCATGCACTGATAAACCTGCTGTTGATAAACTGAGACTGTGTGACAGTTCAACTTCCTGAGATAAACAAAACAATACAGCTGCTGTTAAATCCTGAGGGCTGTACTATGAAGCAGGTTTGACAAAGTCAGGCTTTCTTTGTGTAAGTCAGCTCGACAAAAACTAAAACCCCAGTCAGAGATTATGGGTATCATGAAGGTGGTTCAACTTTGTCAACTCAGACTTTCTGCTTCAGACTCTGTGCGCGTTCACATAAAAAGGAGGCGTTCAACGCGTCACGTGACTCATCTGCACAAAACAATCGTGTGCAGCTGCTGCAGTCAGCACGTTGTTTTAGATTAGATAGAACTTTATTGATCCCTTGAAATTGTTGTACTAGCAACAACACAACACCAACACATTGGTAATAATAATAATAATAATAATAATAATAATAACAACAACAACAATAATGGATACAGTAACAGTGCCAAAGTGCCAAATTTTAGTTTCAATGGAGAACAATGAGGAATATATATATTTAAATAAATATGGCAGTAAAAAGCACCACTACTGCAAATGGTAAAGACAGAAATACTGGTAGAAGATGTGTAGTATATTTGTGTTGCTGATCAATGCAGCCGCTTATGTCTAACTGACAGCTGCATGTTAAAGCTGTTACATTTTAAACTTCATATATTTAAACCTGATCTTGTATTGAAGTGCATTTAGGTCTGACATTGTCCCATAATGCAGGAAGTCACTTTAATTTTTGGCTAAATCAAAGTGAAATTAATGTTATTGATTGAATATTCTCTGTAATAAATAAATAAATAATAAATCTGTGTTCTATCAGCTGCAGTCGCAGCAGTGTAACGGACTTGACAGCAAATCAGAGCCAATCATAAAAACATATTTATGTGATTTCTGCATTGTCAACTAAATACATGTCTGGTTCCCATGGCAACGTGATACACTCAGTGTGTGATATTAGTAACGCACACCTCAGAATTTTTGCAGATAAAACACATTTCCTCAGCTGAGAATCTTCAGAAAACGATTTGATTAAACTTCCTCTCAGAGTTTTAAGTTTCAAAACTCTGAACATAACCTGCTTCAATAAAGTTTTATTCTATTCTATTCTATTCCTGACCAGGTTAGCTCCACAGCATCAGTTACCATGGAGATCTGGCTCCACAGCATCAGTTACCATGGAGATCTGGCTCCACAGCATCAGTTACCATGGAGATCTAGCTCCACAGCATCAGTTACCATGGAGATCTGGCTCCACAGCATCAGTTACCATGGAGATCTAGCAGATAAAAAGAGAGACACCTTCGTGATACTGAAAACTCTGACGTTAGGCTCAACAAACCCACTAATCTCGCTTCGTCGTACAGCCCCCTGGCCCGTCCTGGCTCAGTTTGTAATAGATTTTAAATTGTAGATCAAAGTGAATGAGAAACGTGTTTCGTGATTTTCAAACTGTGTCTTTTGCTCTCTGTGCTGAAATGTGAAAGCAGCCTTCAACAGCACACAGTTTCAGGTCTGTGTCTACGTGTTAATACGACTGCAGAGAAGTGAAAGTGAAAGGCTGCTCGGTTCGACCTCAGTAAATTACGACTTTCCCCGAGAAGTGAGCAGGGAGCTTTGAACGACACGAAGCGTTTAGACGGAGGACATGTGCGCAGGGAGCTTTGCTGACACGAAGTAAACTCCGCAGAACAAACACACCTGTCAGCATCACACACTCCACAGCCAGGAGCTTCAGTTAGCGGCTCCTTGCTCTCAGCAGCAGGTGTGTCCAGTTACAGCTGACAGGTTCAGGCGAGGAAATTAAGCTCCAACGTTTCAAATAAAAGCAGTTTCTGACACAACACTGCTCGCTGCCACATTCACCGACAGTGTGTTCTGGGGTTAGCTGTTAGCTTCCTCGCTCGCCGTCAGTGTGTTATGCAGTTAGCCATTAGCTGTTAGCTTCCTCGTTCACCGTCATTGTGTTCTGGGGTTAGCCATTAGCTTCCTCGTTCACCACCAGTGTGATATGTAGCTAGCTCTTAGCTTCCTCACTCACCGTCATTGTGTTCTGTGGTTACCTGTTAGCTTCCCCACTCACCACCAGTGTGTTATATAGTTAGCCGTTAGCCTCCTCACTCACCGTCAGTGTGTTTTGTGATTAGCCGCTAGCAGACCGCAGTTCAACGGTTGTATTCAAACATTTTAACGTCCCAAAAAACGAAACAGCTGACTGACGATTCCCGCCGGACTGATGATGCTAACGGAGCCCCTTCTTCCTGTTCCTCGTCTTCTTCTGTGACGGAGGCTGTTGACGGAGTTCAGGATCAGTGGCGCCCCCTGCAACGTCAAAGAGTACTACAGTAAAAGTAGCCCAAAGTACTGCGGAGATTTCTACACAGCAACGGCAAAAACAAACAAACAAACAAACAAACAAACAAACAAACAAACAAACAAACAAACAAACAAAACAGATAAATTAACTGATTACATAAATCAAATTTTACCCTATTTTGTGTTGTAAAATTGTTCAAGCTCTGTCAGGTTGCACAGGGATCATGGGTCATCAGCCCTTTTCAAGTCCAGCCACAAACTTTAGGTTAAATTGAGGTCTGGGCTCTCACTCGACCACTTCAGGACTTTCAACTTGTTGCCTTCAAACCATTTCTGTGTAGCTTTAGTCACATGTTTTGTCTTGAAAAAGAAGAATCTTTTCCCAAGTTGCATTTCTCTTGCAGACTGCATCGGTTTGTCCTCCAGGATTTCTCTATACTTTGCTGTATTAAGTTGACCCTCTGCCTTTACAATCCCTTGGGCGCGCTGCTGCTGAGAAGCATCCCCACATCATGATGCTGCCACCTCCGAGGATGGTGTGTTTGTGATGATGTGCGGTGTTGGGTGTCTGCCAAACATTTACATTTTTGTATTTTGTTATTATCAATATATCTATCTATATCTATATCTATATCTATATCTATATCTATATCTATATCAATCATTTTCTTTCACCTGAACAATTTTTAAAGCTCACAGACGATGGCTGATGATTGAGTTACTGACAAGTGATCATCAGTTATCGATGATGTTTGTAAACCTGCAGTGCTGCACGTTTTGTTCGACAGGAGCAACGTGATCCTGTACCCTCACAGTGAAATCCCACCCAGTGACATGTCATTTTACTGTATGGGTAACTTTGTGAACGGGTGTGAAATTACAAACACAAATAAAACACCTGAACTGTGTGAAGCCCCGCCCACACCCTGTCTACCTTCACAGTTAAAATCTCAAAGGGTCAGAGAGGAGACTACCTGTAAACAACAGCAGTGATGAATAAAATCAGGAGGTGGCTCAACAAACCAAAGAAGGTAAAAACTTTATTCGTATCAGCAGTGCCCTTGTTGTTGTTGTTTTGCTGTTGTCATTGCTGTTATCATCACTGTTGTTGTTAATGGTTTGTTAGTGCTGTTGTTGGAGTATTTAGTCACAGAGATCCAACAGAAACTGATGGTCAGTTTTTAAAATAACGCTCCAGCTAATTAAATTGAGTTGATATGAATGTATTGATCGATGATTGGATTAGATATTCATGTTTTCAAATGTGTTTCCAGACATGTGTTGGTTAATCCACATCAGTGAATCAACAATACAATAAGCCATATTAATGTTGTAGTGGTGACATTTGCAGTGTTATAGCAGCAACGGGGACAATGTAAAAATGTAAGAAATATCAGAAGAAAAACAAAAACAACCAACAAATATACATAAGTGCTGGTTCTTCCATATGTGGACATTTAGATTGTACAGTGCTCTGTTTCTCCTGAAAAACGTTAAATTCAAAGTCTGCAGTCGAGAAGAAGAAAGATGAAGATAATTTCCAGGCACGATGAAGGTAAACAACACAGGAGCGTCTCCCAGCAGCGGTAGATGTTATCAGGAGGTTTGATGTCTGAGGGAACATAGCAGAGCTCTGACGACGAAGACTGATTCCTAACCAGAGCAGACACAATCATACGAGGTGTTCTGACTGAAAGAGCAGAACTGGTCTGAACCTTATAAAGAGCTAAAACCATCAGACCTGCAGCAGTACGAGTCAAACTAGCAACTGAAGTCTCGTTAAGAGTTTCAGAGCGATCAGAGGGACACTAGCCCACAGTCCAGATGTTTTATATCTGCTGTGCTATTCAGAATAATGTGTTACAGCAGAAACCAGTGTTCTGTTAGATTTGGAACCAGAAACAGAGACAGAACAGTTGTTTTGTCAGCTTTAATGTATTCAGAGAAAAGTGTGTTTTTGAGTTCAAAGCTGCAGTTGTTGGGTCCACGTTGGTACGAAAGAACAACCTGGGACATGACCAACACAACAGGAAACAACACTGCAGCAGGAACACATGTACAGTCCAACATGTTCCAACATGTGGGTCTTCATCGATATCATGTTTGGCTTTTGTTGTTCCTGTCAGAGCTGTGCATGTTCTTACACTGGGCTCCAGTAATATGTTAACTGAGAACACTGGGAGGTTTATAGAGACACAGTCATTGTGAGAACTGATAGTCTTTGTCCTCAGCTCCTGTTTCCATCTCAGGTTGTGTCTTCAGGCACTTCACCACCAGCTGAATAGAGAAGATGAACCGCCGACAGTTTGTCCTTCAGAGTTTACCGGGGTTCACGTGTCCAGAAACACAAAACACAACAAATCCAAAAAAAAAAACAGCGAAACACGTGGTGATCATCAGAGAACCGTCTGTTTCCTGAAACAAGATCTGTCAGTCGTTGCAATTCAATTCAGTTTTACTGATACTGAGCCACTTCACAACATACGAGGTGTGTCCAAAAAGTTCCAGGACTGGTGTCGCAAAAGATGTATTTCAAACCCAAACTACAAACTACAAGTTTTCCCTTCGTACTCATCCCTCTGGAGTCTAACACACTTCCCCAGCCTTCTCTGCCACGCCGCCATGCACTCCTGGAAGGATTCTTCAGGGATCCTCCTCAGCTCCGTTGTCACAGCCATCATGATGTCGTCCACGTCTTCTAAACCAGTCCCCTGGATGACCCCCTCTTAGTTTGTTTATGTCACAAGTTTACCACAAAGTTTTTATTTAAGTCAGATGTTTGTTCATCTCCCGTGTTTGTTTACCCCAAATGTTTGTTTATCTCAGATGTTCACCACTGATTTTTATGTCAGATATCTGTTTATCTTAGATGTTTATCTCAGATTACTGTTCATCTAAGATATTTAACTCAGATATTTGTTTACCTTGGGTTGTTGCTCATCTCAGATTTTTACCTCAAATTTTTGTTCATGTCAGATGTTTGTTTACCTTAGATATGTTTTTAACCTCAGATGTTTATGTCAAAGTTGTCGGTTTATGTCAGACATTCGATTGTATTCAACGTACTACTGTGTCAAAAGTACCAACAGTAGTACCTTCAGTAGTACTAACAGTAGTAGCATCACTGGGACTACACACAGCAGTATTAGCCATAGTAGTATCAATATTGCTGACAGCAGAAGTGTCAGTAGTGCTAACAGTGCTAACAGAAAGGGTAGCCGTATACTGGTAGTTGTTCTACCAGTAGTATGAACAGTAGTTGTATCACTAGTACTCATATTACTACTGGTAGCACTACTGACGATGCTGTCTTGATAAAACAGGAGGTAGAAAACCTGCTGATGATTCAACAGTCGACACCGGATTGGAGATATCACGATTTATTGGTCGTCATGGAGACACTGAAACACGCCCCCCACCCACTGGACACTCTGCTATTGGATGCCAGGTGATGATGTCATCAAACCGTCGACATTAACAAAAAATATTAAGACTTTATTCGTTGTTTATAAGCAATAAACATCAATAACAGACCCGTCAGTTAATGTGCCAGTCGCAGCAGGGTCCAATCAGGTGGTTTTATGATGGTGGTTGTGCTTTGGTTCTGCTGTGGTTCTATAGTGGTTCTGTTGTGGTTCAACAGTCACACTGATAAGCTTTGTCATGCTTTTGCTGCAGAGATTTGGATGAAGGTTTGATCCATCAGACCAAGATAAAGACATTGGATCCAGACCTGATCCAGACAACCAGACTGAGCATGCTCAGGTGAGTTGGACAGGTAACCTGAGGACACAGAGGACACAGAGGATTGTTCCTGCTTAGAACAGACACAGACTGAAGAACAAGTTACAACTCTGGTACCTCAGACTGCCACGGTACCTCCAGAACCCCAGGGGGGAGCAGGAAGGAGACCACATCAGTTTACTGATCCGCAACCAGGACAGTGTGATCTCCTTTGAGAACAGATAGAACAGAACCGATGCTCTACCTCCTTCATGAACCAGTTTGAGGACAGCACCTGTATATCTGTTCACCAGTCCAACTCGTCACCTGTTTACCTTTAAACTTGTCCATCTGTTCACCTGTCCATGTGTTCCACAGACAGACAGGTGACTGTTTGTTTGTTTGTTTGTTGTCAGGGAGCTTCTGCAGGGAGACGTCTTGCAGGATCAGAACGTCTCTGATGTCCCACAGCGGCGGGACTGTCCAGAACATCTCAGAACAACACAGGTCAGTCCTGCACCTGCTACACAGGTGACACACACACACCCCATTCACCTGAATGTCTCAGAGACCATCCACACGCTGAGTCATGATCCACACCTGGTGACACCTGACACCTGTGACATTATCCATGCTGCGAGGGGCGGAGCCTCGAACACAATCAGCTGTGACAACATCAGCCTCGCTGGTGGACGTTCTGTCCCACCTTTACTGAGCACCAGAGATGACTTATCACTTCCCTCGTCCCCTCACCCCTGGAGAGAAGGGAGGCTGCCCCGCTCACTGCCCTGCTCCCCCCTGCTAGAGGGCAGACGCTGGCGGTCCTCCCCCTCGTCCCCCTGTCCTCCCTCTCCTCTGTCTCGACTCTGGGTGGAAGCTGCTCTGCAGAGAAGCAAAGATGGCCGACGACCACCACAGGTGAGGCTGGGGGAGGAGGGGGAGGAGTGTCTGGACTCCACCTGTCAGGTGCAGGACAAGTACCAGGACAGGTACTGTCTGCTGACACCCTGCCTCTGCTCCCGGTGAGTGTTTTCATCCCAGTGAACTGAATCTGTCCTCGGACTGACTGAACGATGTAATAACTCACCTCCGTCCTCTTCAGGTGTCCCAGCGCTCCCCCATATGAAGCTGAAGTCTTTTCTGCTCCAGACGTTCAAACAGGTCAGAGACTGAATCAGACGTGGACTCAGGTGTCTCAGGGGACAAACAGCCAGAAGATAGATGACCAGAGGACAGACAGTCAGAAGATGAATGACCAGAGGACAGATAGTAAGAAGATGGATGACCAGAGGACAGATAGTGAGAAGATGAATGACCAGAGGACAGGGGAAAACAGTGAGCAGACTTCACCCAATGACGGAGCTCCTCAGCTCGGTCGGCCCTCCAGACTTTACCCCAGTCTGAGTCTATGGAGGATCTCTGGTGACGCCCAGGTGAGATAATGCATCATCAACCATGACATAGCGTCATAGCCTAAAACACAATCCTGAGCTCAGGTGCTACTTATTGATCGCTTCAGTTCAGGTGTTATCCGACTGGTTCAGGTCAGGTGTGAGTAACTGATGGCTCTAGTACAGTTTGTGATTGAATTTTGTTCTCAGATGGAACTGAACAGGAAACAGGAAGTGAACAACTACCAGCTTCACCACAACACAACCCAGTCCTGTTTCCATGGCAACATCACCAATAATCATTTAGAGCAGTTCCAAGTGGTCTCAGGTGGGAGTGTAAACTCAGATACTTCATCATGGCCGCTGTCCTCACCTGCTGCACCTGTCCTAGCCAATCCAGGTGAGGTGAGGACCGGACGTTCTGCTGATTTGAGCTTAATCCTGAAGAAGGTGGTTGACTCGACCACATGCAGTAAGCAGACAGGTGAGTCTAACATTTATTTCTATATGCTAGAGAGTAAAACCTTCATCACCTGAGTCTGTCCTGACTCCAGGTGTTCAGGTGAGCAGAATCATGCTGTCACTTGATATGTTGTTTGTGTCTCTGCAGCTCGTCCTGTTGAATTCTGTAGCTGCTGTTCAGACAAACACGGTGTCATAAAACATCTTTGTGAAAGCTGTGACCAGGTAATCTCTGACAGTGACCAGGTAAACTCAGACAATGTAAATGCTTACTGTGACCAGAGTTTTGTGCTAAGAAGCAGGATGTGAGGTTACAGAAGTAACTTCAGATTTAACTCTGGGTTTTCAGGCCTGTGGCTTTGGTTTGCTTCTTCCATCACTATGGTAACTGATGCTGAACACCTGAGCTGTTCCGGAGCAGGTGATGTTCCAGATAACAGATTAGCAAGTATTAAAACATCTTCTAATTGTTTGAATTTGGTGAGTCAACCAGGGATCATGACTCTTGAGGTGAGTGTTCACATGGACATTTCCAGAAAAGTGACTGGTTTTAACCTGCATTGACCAGTATAGAACGTCACCTGCTCCGGAGCAGCTCAGGTCTTCAGCATCAGTTACCATGGAGATGTAAACCACTCTTTTGTTCCTGTAAACCCAGAGTGAAACCCCAAATTACCCAGATGACCTCCACCTGCTTCATAGTAACTCTGGTAAACTCTGACCAGGTGATAACAGTGTGAACACAGAAGCTCAGCTCTTGTTACCTGTCCTGTCTTTCAGAAATTCTGCTGTCGCTGTCTGTCTCACTTCATCTCTTTATTTGAGATTCATCGGTTGAGACAAACCTGGGAAGACGAGCAGCAGGTCAGCTGTCCTTCACAAACGTCCTCCTCCTCTCATAGACGTCAGTGTCTAAATAAAACTTGATGAACTTTCTCATTTGTAACCAAACATTTAACTATTAGTGACTGGACTTCCAGAGCAGTAAAAACCTGATGTAACTCTGAGATTAGTCATAAAGCTATTTTTTTTAAATCAGTAATAAAGGTATGATTGACATCTAGATGAACAGGTGGATGGATAGAAATTGATAGAAAAACCGAGAACATGAGTCCGACTTGATCAGCGGGTCAGTTTTAATGTGTCTGCAGTGTTTTCTGGTGAACGTGTTTTTCCCTGAAGTGAACTGTTTAAAAACTGAGCTTCACATCAAGTGATGCTGTAAACAAATAAACGAACTTTCCTCCATCAGTTGGAGTTCAACCATCTTTTATTTAAAAGCAAATGTGACGGCTGAAATCCACAGCGATCAATGATCTGAACCAGGTGTTCAGCCACGTTAAGGTAAACCGACACAAGACCTAAAAACACTAAACTATGATTCAGTTCATGATTAAACAGACGAGTTACACACCTGATCACCAACCTGATCAACCATTTAATGTAATCAGAGAAAACATTCAAAGCCTCACATTGTTTCATGTTGAGTTCAAACATTTCTGTTGCAGATTTTCTTGTTTCAGTTTTAAACAAAAATAACACACTAACAATTTCAGCTCTAATCATCACACGGAGGCTAATTAGCATGAAGCTAACCCAACACAAACAGCAGAGTCTGCAGCCTGTCTCCACCGCACAGGTGCATTCTGGGGGTTGTAATGCTGAGCTGTGACCCGGTGCAGAGGGAGTGTTCATTTTGTGGCAGAGGAAGTCCAGTCGGGCCCCGCAGATTCTGCTTTAAGGCCGGACCTTCATGAACGCCAGCGGCTGAACGTCCCACTGAGCCGGGACACCTGAACGCAGCACAGCTGGAGAAAAATTTGAGACAGAGGTGAGAGATACAGACGGCAGATCATGTTCAACCTAAAAATTCTTCCCTCCTCAGCACAACCGACTGACTCAGCTGTGACAAACAGTGAATTCTTTTTTTTTTTTTTTTTTTCCAGATAACCTGCAGGCAGTGTTTCCAGAGCCAAGAGAAGATGACAAGAGAGGCTGAGGGGAAAATCAAACATACCGGATCAAAAATAAATACATTCAGCATGGCTCAGAAACAGTGGACAGAGGAACAAGTTCTTGGAAGATACATTCAGCATGGTAGAACATCTTTCTCCAGCTGATGAGCAGAGCAGAGAGGGAACGTTTGTAGTCCATGAACATGTAAATGGTTAAATATCTACAGTATGTGAAGCTTCATTTTTTCCATTGTTGTTAACATCTGTAAAAACCTGGGAAATGTTGGACATGTTGATTTCAGGTTTTTACATTTTGTAAATAAATGTTTATTTTCTGATTTCTGTCGTTTTAACTGCATCAAACTGCACAGAAGACAGTTCTGAGCTCTCTCTCTCCTTCTTCATGCCTGTGATGTTTCAATAAAGGTGCAGGACTTTATATTGCAATTAAAAAGTATCCCACAGTGAGGAAAAACAAGGTTAGAGGGTGAAATAAAATTCCTTCTGATCACTTTGTTCATTACTTGCTGCTGCATGATTAACTTCAGGAAACTTAAACAGGAACCAGTTCATTATGATGTCAGAGCAGAGAGGCAGGTAGCAGCTGCTCAGGCGACTCAGAGCTCACGTACCTGCAGCTCTAAGTGGAGGAGAAGGTCATGTGATCCACCTGGTTCATCTTCAGGTGGTTGTCAAGGATCTGAAACATCTCCTGGATGTTTGGGACGTAACCAGACTGCAGCTTTGACCACACGGGGACGTCTGAGGGGACCAAATACAGTGTTACACCAGGAAGTGACTTTGTCCTCCACCTCACACAATGACTCAAACTTTATTTATAAAGACTGCAAATACACTGTCTCTGACTCAAACTTGATTTATAGAGACCACAAACACTTCGTCTTTCCTCTCAAGCTCATTACCCTCAGTGATGTCATACTGCTTTGGATCAATCAGAACTCACCGTTCAGAGTGACCTCGAAGGCTCCAGTGGACAGAAATTGAGTCTCCATCATGTTACACAGGAAAAAGGCCATCAGGCAGGAGAAGATCTGACAAACAGCAGAGACAGTGATTGGGTCAGCCTGTTGCCATGGTAAGCAGCATGGAGCATCTGTTGCCACAGCGACAGCAGTAATAGAGGTGCAGGTACCTTGTTGTCCTGACTCCAGGTCCAGGCTCGGGGAGTGTCGAGGCCGAGGAGGACGAAGGGATTCTGACCGCTGACGATCAGCAGGATGGAAAGCAGCTTCAGGTAGGAGATCAGGTTACCCAAAATCCTGACGAGGAGGAGTAGGAAGAGGAGGAGGAAGAGGAGGAGAGGAGGTGGGTTTAGCAACAGGTGTGCTGCTTTCAAAAAATGTTTTAAAAATCACATCGGTCACGTTCACACATAGAACTGTTCTTCGATTAGAAAGATTTTTCTATTGAAAATATAAAGCTGATAAAGCTGCTTCCAGGTAAGTGGACAAACAGGTAATCAGTTACCTGTAATGTTGCACTTTGACTGAACGTAAGGAAACAGGACTCAACATACCACTCAGCTACTTCCTGTTCACATCCGAAAGTGGGAAGTGCAGCTTAAATGTGTATTACTGAAGGGGGCGGGGCAGTTTAGTGATGTCATAGCTCACCTGTTCAAGGGGGTGGGGGGGTAGTTTTCTCCCTGGATGCGGATGTCTGGGTACACCTGGCTGATGGCTTGAGAGTAGTCCTGGAACACTTTACTGTAACCTCAGGAGATACTGGAAATAAAGAGAGAACACACCTGTCAGGTGAGGTCAGCAGGTCATGTGATCTCCATCACGTTTCTGAGACCAATCTATGGCAGCAAGTGTCACAAATAGCGAATCAAAGATGTCTCATGGAGGACAAGGCTCTGACAGCTGCTGGGACAGATGTTGTCTCTGACAGCTGCTGGGACAGATGTTGTCTCTCGTGGGAACAGACTGGACTCCAGTGAAGTCTGAACATTAGATTGACCCTGTTTGTTGTTGAACATTTGGTTTTGATTAAAGGGTTGACTGGACATCAGTGAATGACATGCTGCAGGATACAGACAGAGACAACTCAGTCCATTCATCAAAGTACAATAAATCTACCATTAGTGGAAAATTTGATTAATCCAATGATCAATAAATGATAATGATCACTTCTTTACTTCGACTTTTAAAGACTTCACCTGAAAGCGACCAAACAACTTGTCAAGATGGGAACACTCAAATTTAATACTTTGCCATCAGTTTATCTTCCAAAACTCAACAAACTCCATGTTGGACTGAACACAGTTCAACAGCAACTTCAGCTACACACCTGTTAGCAGCTAACAGCTTTAGGAGACGTTACTCGTTAGCTGCTGTAACGAAGTTAAACCGTGTTTAATAAATTAAACATGATGCAACGTCTGCTTGAGCATCCGTTACTGTGTTTATTCTGCAGCTCGTTAAAACTCTGACAGACTGAGGACGCTAACTTGTCGCTGAGCTGTGGCAGCCACACACTGCTGTTAGCCGTTAGCCTCCGTGCTAACTCACCAGTACTGGAACTTGAGCACGGGCCCGCTGTACAGCGAGGCTTTGGCGGGTCTCCCGGGCTCCGTGTCCGCCAGGGTGTCGGGGGAGAGGCCTTGTCTGTCGGCCGGCTGCTGTCCGCGCTGCGGGCTCGATCTGCCGAGATAAACGTCACGGACCGTGAGGGCCGTGAACAGGAGCAGAGCCGCCAGGAGCCCGGCCTGGCTGTACTCCGCCATGTCTGTTCTCTCACTGACGTCACATGCGCCCGACACGCAGTGACGTGATATGTGCGGGACGCTCCTGTGCGCGTGAATGGAAGGTGACAGGATACAATGAAAACCTAACATTTAGACTTTAATGACTTATTCTTCACTGAATCCCGCGAACGGCTCACCTGACGGCTGACGTCTGACAGGTAGGCGACGGTGTTTGTGCTGAATGTTTAAATGATGAAGTTGTTCTTCAGGATCTGGACATCAGTGTTGTTGTTTTTATGTCTTATTTCAAAGAACCACAGCTACACACTGAAGGAAAATGGAGAAATGAACAGATTATTCCGAATTCAGAGAGAAATTCAAACAGAATGAATTGTTCTTAACATGCATTGTTGCTGCTAAAATATTCAAAGCATATGAAATGTCATAAATCTTTATATGAATGTACAGCATGTGGATATGATCAAGATGAGTGAATATGCACGATGTAAATAAAATTCAATCTAAAAATTATATTCTGATAGAAATTAGTTGTGTACTGTGAATGTCTTTGCACACTATATTATTCATTTAAGCTTACTGAGACAATATCTCATAGGTTCTCTTTCATGAATAAAAACAATCCTTAGTTTCACCTTTTTCTGACCTCCTTCACCTGACAAACGTCTGTCCTGTTTTTCATTTATTTCGTCCAGTTGCAGTTGTAGAGATGATGCTTTTGTTTAGTTCCTCACCAAACAAGTTTATTTTCTTTGATAGTCTTATTATTTTACAATTATTCTCTCACTCTGTTTGCTTTAGCAATCCTTTTTTCTCAGTTTTTTAAATTCATTGCCAGCATTTTGCAAAATAGTTTATATTTCAGGAGGCATACTAAATGTCCTCAGCCTCCTCAGGAAGTACAGCCGTTTGTGCGCTCTGTCAGTTCTTTAGTGTTGTGGGACCAGGTGAGATCACGGCTTACATGTGTACAGAGGAATCTGAATGTTTCCACCCTCTCCACCTCAGTGTCGCCGATGTAAATGGAGGAATGCAGCACCTACCTCCTCCTCGGGTCGACAGTCGTCTCCTTGGTTTTGTTTGTGTTCAAGGAGAGATTGTTTTCCTGACACCACGTCGGCCACCTCAGCCCTGTAGTCCGTCTCCACCCTCCTCATCCTAGTTATTTTATTTTCTGATATTTTCAGCCGTCTTTATTAAAGTTACATCTCATCTGAACTGTAGCAGCTCACGATCTGTAAAAAACTGGCTTCTTTATCAACCTCATCTTCTACAGAGTATTCTGATTCTGTTTCTTTGAGTTGCAGGTGATTTGAGTTATTACAACAGTAAAATCCTGCTTTTACATTTATGAACAAGTAATAACAATCTAATTATGTAACGTACTGTAAAATAGTTTAACGGGCACAGGAAGCTATTTTCTGTATCAAGTGCTTTTACCTTCAGTAACATTTTCAGTGCAGAAACTTAACAGTGTGGTTTTAGTAGTTTTCCTGTGTTCCTCCATCTCTGATCATCTGTCGATCAGCAAACACTGAATCACGACATGAATTCATGTTTTTACAGAGAGCTTGTGTAGCCACATCTTCCTTAGCACGATGCTGCGCTCTCAGTAAAGTGTTGCTATCTGGACCGTCAAGTTATTTCAGTCAGCTGTAACTTGATTAACTTGATAAGCAGATAGTTACTGAACAGCTGCTCTTGAATGAACAAGTCTCTCTTCATGTCACGTTACTGCGACGCCCTGCATTCTTTACAGTAATATGCTGCTCACCACCAGTAAATGTCAGCAGCACAAACACGCAGCACATGAAGTGCCTGTAGGGAGAGCGTTGTCTGTCCTGGTTGATATTTTTGAGTTTTCTTCTTCTTTGCTGTAACCACAGCAGAGTCCAGTCCGTCAAGCGTTTGTTAGAATAAGATTGTTATGAGACAGTCACACAGTTTGTGCTGTTGGTCTGCTGATCAAGCAGCAGCTGAGCAGGTTTAAAGACAATAATGCAGACTCACAATATATATTGAGACAAACGCATCAGGAGACTGAAGCCACACAGACAGATTGTGAAAACTCAGTACGTGTTTGCAGCACACCGCTGATAAACTAGAGTGAATAGAATTTGCTTTGGAACCGATGGGCAGAATCGAAATGTGTCTTTCCTTCAAAATCAGAACTCAAACCTTAATCCTACCATGCATATTGTCTATTTCATTACTTTCTCAACCCCTACTTTCATCCACCACTGTGTCACAGGCCCTCCCTGTTAAACTTTAATCATATCTGAGTGTTTCCAGACTCGTCTTTAATCCACCACCTGACCACACGAACGTTTGGGTTTTATTTTCAGGACTGTGGCGAGGAGGAGGGTCACCATGCTTACTGTGTGGGGACCCGTGAGGTCCAGTGTCCTGCACCTCCCTGTACGTCGAGCCTGCTCAGGTGTGATCCACAGGAGGCCACCTGCACCTGGTCTCACCTACGCAGCACCACCACCTTTAGTCGGCCTCCACAGGTCTGGAGGACGCAGATGCCTATCGTGTGTTAAGACTCTGCCAGGTGTCGGGACTCTTTCAGGTGTCGGGACTCTTTCAGGTCTCGGGACTCTTTCAGGTGTTGGGACTCTTTCAGGTGTCAGGTGTCTGTCAGGAGTCGGTGGCAGCAGCAACAGCAACAGTGGTGGGGATGTTGCAGGTGTTGCAGGTGTTCCAGGTGTTGCAGGTGCAGACGGATGGTACAGCAGCCTCTCAGACTCGGCTCCGGTTCACCTGTGTGAACACTTCCTGGTGAGCGTCCAGCAGGCGAGCGGGTTGCCGTGGTGGCTGAGTATCGTCGTGGCGACACTGTCGGTCAGGACGCTCATCACTCTGCCGCTCGCTGCCTACCAGCTGGTCATCATCTCCAAGGTCAGTGTCGGGGGGGGCGGAGTCCGCTGTCAGATAAACACTTAGTGTGAAAACATGGTAACCATAGTAACCCCTCGGTGATGTGCAGGTGGAGGCGCTGCAGGTGGAGATCTCTGACCTGGCGAAGAGGCTGCGATATGAAGTTTCGGTGCGAGCGAGAGAGAGAGGCTGGACGGAAAAACAGAGCCGGTGAGAAACAAACAAATGGCGAGGAGCTGGGCTTTGGTTTGGATCAGTCAGTGGAAGAGGAACAGACGCTGAAGACTGTTCTCACCCTCAGACCTACTGACACGCAAGCTCTAAAGATGTACAGGTTCTAATGAGTACAGACGTGTGGGTACAACTTTGTTCTGAATCTCTGTTCTCTGTTCAGGTTCCAGTTCCAGAAGAATCTGCGCCGACTCATCTCTGAGCTCTACATCAGGGACAACTGTCACCCCTTCAAAGCCAGTGTGCTGGTTTGGGTCCAGCTGCCGCTCTGGGTCAGTCTGTCTCTGGCCCTCCGAAACCTGAGCCTGGATCAGTCAGGTATGAACACACGCCCAGATCAGCCCAGTCAACTGATTCTAGATCAGTCCAGTCAACTGATTCTAGATCAGTCCAGTCAGCTGACTGGTTCAGTCTCAGTGAAGTGATCCATTACTGACCCGTGTTGATTCTGTGCAGCCCGGCAGGCTGAGCTGGCAGTGGGAGGCGCTCTGTGGTTCCCGGACCTCACCGCGCCGGACTCCACCTGGATCATCCCCATCTGTCTGGGACTCACCAACCTGCTGGTCGTAGAGGTCAGTGTGTCTGCAGGTGTGTGATCACCTGACCAGTGATGTCATCAGTCTGAGCATCCTGTGCTCTTCTTCTTCAGGTGTTTTCTCTGCAGAGAGTCGCCACGTCCAGGTTCCATCGGCTGGTCCTGAACTCCATCAGAGGGTTCTCGGTGCTGATGATCCCCATCGCTGCTACGGTTCCCTCGGTGAGCTGAAGTCTGTCACTCTTGTGTTCTGAGAGCAGCTGATTGGTTCAGGTGGAAGGTGCCGAGGGAGTCCAGGTTCAGCTGCAGACGGCAGGAATGCAGAGGCTTCGTGTTCAGATCTGTTGAGTGGATGAATGCTTCTGAGCGTGTTGAGTCGCGCTCACATTCCTGCCGGATCATCAGATTAAGATGTTGCTGTCCGAGATCAGAACTCGGCTCAGAACATAAGCCAGATTCTATCGGATCAGGGCTGCACGTCCGCACGTTCATTCTCTGGTTTGTTTTGGTTCGAGCTGCGATGAAAGATAACCGTCATTATTTATTAAACGGCAGATTTATTCTTGAAATGTTGGTAGACAGTTATAATGTGACAGATAGAACAAAGGTATGCGGAGCTGAAGGACACACTCAGGTTCATTCATCCTGGCAACTGTAGACTGTTTTTGCGGACCAGCACTGATCCATGACTGGTGGTTTGGATCAGGTGTTTTACTGTGGAGACATTCAGGTTTTCTGCCACGCTGTGGAAAATCAAATAAAACACAGAAGCACTTTGGGAACACTGTTCCTCATCAGCCCTGTGTTTGTATGGAATTAACCAAAACGCCATTCATTCCTATGAGAGCATCACTGACTTCTGATGTGTTTGGGAAACTCCTCCTTCCATCTTTCTCTGGTCTGAAATGTACCTTGTGTCCGTTGGAAACCTTCAGCGATAGATTACAGAGAGACCAGAATGTGTGCAGCACAAAGTTGGAAAAACGAATTAGCTACCAGCTGTTTGATTATATTTATAGTTAAACTGTGTAAATGTGTAATTACAAAATGAACTAGTTCAGCTAAACTAGCTCATGCTAGCTGCAGAGGAAAACATACCGAAGAGCTTCACACGTCCTGTAACAAAACATTTCACCAAACTGGCTCCACTTCCTCACTGTTTTCTCTTCATGTATCATTCGTCCCGTTTTAGTGCCTTATGCACATCCATCCATCCATCCATCCTTCCATCCATCCATTATCTGTACACCGCTTAATCCTCACTAGGGTCGCGGGGGGGCTGGAGCCTATCCCAGCCAACTTAGGGCGAAGGCAGAGGGCACCCTGGACAGGTCGCCAGTCTATCGCAGGGCCACACTTATGCACATATTCCATAAAAACTGATGGTTGCGGTGAAGCTTCTATTTATTGATAATGAAAGGCATTTCCTCATGTTGAACAGCAGGGGGCGCAGTCTGTATGTTGTACGGATTTACAGACGCGAAGCAAAACGAAGCGGAAAACAGGCGTCAGGGCCTGAACCCTTTATTGTTGACCCGACTGACACATGAGTCTGTGGTCGGCTTTAACCCGGGACAACAACAACACACGAGCTTTAGTTGCTCTGACAATGACTGTATGCTGCTTGATGAGTTCATCACTGGTTCTCTAACATCACTGTATCTTCTGTTTCCTCTTCCATCTCTCCCAGTCCATGGCTCTGTACTGGTTCACCTCCAGTTTGGTGGGATTCAGTCACAACCTCCTCCTTCGCTCTCCTGCGATCCACAAAATCCTGCGACTCCAGACTCAGCGCTCAGAATCTCCGTACAGAGACCTGCTGTCTGCCTTCATCGCCAAATACCGCAAATAAATACCCCGAGTCCTGCATCAGACACTTGAGCTGAAGGTTCTCAGCTCTGAGTGAACCAACGACAGCAAACTGATTCATACAGAAGTCAGGATTCAAACCGATGAGGAGGAGGTTTTATCAAATTAATCTTCAATGGCTCATTTCCTTCCTCTCAGAAGCTGTGAGACTTTAACAAACACCACAGGATGCAGCAGTGAGCTTTCGGTAGACCCGCCCTGGGTTTTGGCTCTCAGGTGGAGCCCGTCTGAGCTTCTGTGCAGGTTTTTGTGGCCTGTGTGAAGCCTGAAGAAAACCTGCAAACATTACTCAGTGGAAAGCATCAAGACTGATTTAAATGTATGTCATGTGGGGAAATGAAGCAATCATCGTAAATCCTGCGACGATGGAAACATGAAAGCCAAGTTAACAGACCTGAGTGTCATACTGGCCATCAGTCATGTGCTGCTGCTGTTCAGTAATCGTGTGGAAATAAGAAAGATGTTTTATTTGTGTGTGAGTTCAGAAATAAACAAGATTTAATTTAAGGAAATGATTTCATGTTCGGCGATCACACTTGAACTCGTCTTTCTACATTTAACTTCTTGTCAACTTGTCGTCCAGCAACAACCACTAAACACTAATATTCAGTTTTTCTCTTAAGACTACAGGATTTACTTTGCTGTGTTCCTTCCAGTCTGTCCTCTGAGGACTGGGCTAAACATAGTTTCAATAACAGGAAGAATCCATGTGACCTCAGACTGGAATTTTTCCTGTTGATTATTTTCCCACAGAAACACAAAGTGTTTCAGACTCTGAAACAAAACTGAGCTCAGATTTAACTGTTTCGCATCTCACAAGCTGAAAAACATCATTAACAGTTTATGCAGCTGCTCACAAACATCACTTTATCAACAGATCAATCAGTTTGATCAGTCATGTCATATTAATAGCATCAATCAGGTAGATTAGGTAGATCAACCTTCTTCATCAGATCTGTGGCATCAGATCAATCAGTGTTTTGTTTCTTGGTGTTTTTTGTGAATCTGCAGCTTCAGTCTTTATTGTGTTGTTTTATTTTTTTCTGTTTTCATTGTGTAGAAAACTTGACAGAACTGCAGCAGTTTAATAAAAACTCCGAGCTCAGGCAGAAACTTCACACCATTAAATCCTAAAATCCTGCAGGACTGAGACAAAAGCAACTGATTCTCCTCCATGAATCTGCTGCTTTGTGTGTTTGCGTTTGCAGTTCTCCATGTTTTAGTTACTCTGTGTAGTATTTGCTGTGATTCTGTGGCAGCAGATCTGGGATCAGGTCTCCTCTGAGGCGGAGTCAGCAGCTTCAAACAGCTCACATCCGTCCATCAGACCTCAGACTGGTTCAGACCGTTTCACACTCCAGACCTCCTGCAGACCAACATGAAGTCTTTCAGCCTCCTTCTGTCTCTGCTGCCGCTGCTCCTGCCGGTGCTGTGTGCCGGCTTGGAATGCGGACCGTGTGACCCGGCTCAGTGCGCTCCTCTCCCGGCGGAGGGCTGCGCCGCCGGTTCCATGCTGGACTCCTGCGGCTGCTGCTCGGTGTGCGCCGCCGCGGAGGGAGAGCTGTGCGGCGGCCGCCGCGCGGAAGGGCGCCGCTGCGGCCCCGGACTGGAGTGCGTCAGGGGCAAAGAGGACAAGAAGAACAAGATGGGAATCTGTGTCTGCAAGAGCGGCTACGAGGTCTGCGGAACCGACGGACAGACCTACAAGAGCGGCTGCGCGCTGAAGACCGCCAGTCTGAAGGCCGAGAGAGAGGGCAAAGAGCCGGTCAACATTCAGAACAAGGGCCGCTGCGCCACAGGTGAGGCTGAGACTCACAGGTGACAGACAGGTGCAGCTGATGTACACAGCTAAGACACTCAGGTCAGACTCAGACACAAGGGTGAGACACAGGTGAGACAGAGACATAGGTGAGGTTAAAGGTCAGAGTTACCTGTCCCACCTTTATACAGATGATGAGAAACAGCAGAACTGATCAGAGGAATCAGTGTCCTCCAGTCAGTCCTTAATGCCTGACAGTTACAGTCATCTCTGATAATCCCCCTTCATTCCTCACTGAGCATGCTCAGAAAACATGAAAACCCTCACTGGGCACGCTCAAAGCAAACTGCATTCCTCAGAGGTCAGCGAGGATCCACCGCCTCACGGATTCCTGATTTTATCCAGTTACATCAAGTTGATCTGCAGCCAGACATTTAACTCTTACCTGCCTGCCTGCCTCTCTGTTGGTCTGTCTGTATCACCTGTCTGTTGGTCTGTCTGTCTCACCTGTCTGTCTCTTGGTTTGTCCATCTGTCTCACCTGTCTGTCTCTTGGTTTGTCCATCTGTCTCACCTGTCTGTCTCTCTGTTGGTCTGTCTGTCTCTCTGTTGGTCTATCCATCTCATCATCATCTGTGATGTTTGCCTGCAGCTCCCATCATCGTCACCCCTCCAGGTGAGGTGTACAACGTGAGCGGCTCTCAGGTGTACCTGAGCTGTGAGGCGGTGGGCGTGCCCACACCTGTCCTCACCTGGAAGAAGGTGAGTCTGTTTAAATCCCTTTTTCTGCTGGTTCGTTGTGATACATAAAGATGTGGGTTTTTTTAATGAGCTGCTGTTTGTAGAAACAAAAAAAAATACTAATGATGAATGTGAAGAGATGATGCTGAGGTGAGTTCCTGTTCCAAACCACGATGTTCTGGTACCAAACCACGATGTTGTGGTACCACACAGTGATGTTTCCATCTCAAACCATAACGTTCCCAAACCAAACTGTGATGCTTCCATTTTCACCAGGATGTTCCTGCTTACAACTGGTTCCTCAAACCGTGATGCTCTCCTACCAAACAGTGTTGTTCATGTGCCCTGCCGTGATGTTCCCGTACCAAACTGTCATGTTCCTGTGCCATACTGGGATGTCTCATCGTTGTTCTTGATGAAGCCAACTGTGTTTTTGTCTTCCACAAATTTGACAGCGTGAACATCCTCATTTATGGCGACACAGTTGTTGGTGTTTAATGTCTACTTGCTTTTGTTGAAGTGGTATTTCCAACCCTGATACCTGATGGAGTTTGAGGTTCAGTTCCAGGTTTGGCAGATTTTCCGTTCACATCAGGGTACGATGGTTGGATGCTGAGCCGTTTTCCACCAACACCGTTTCTGATGTAGAAGTTCTTGGTTTCTATGTGGGACAGTACAGTGTGTAGAGCAGAACAAATGGCCGCTGTAGCTCTGATTGGCCGATACGCGAACTGAAGGAGGTCCAGTGTGGAGAGAACTGTGGTTTTGAAGTGTCCCCGTATCAGCCTCTCAAAGCACTTTTCATCAGTGCAGCTGGTCTGCAGTGGTTCAAGCAGGCTTTTCTTTCTGGGTTTTTCTTGGTGACTGGGGCGATAGTTGTTTCAAAGCAAGATGGGACAGTCAGGTTGAAAATGGAAGTGAGGACATCAGTGAGTTCTGCAGCAGAGACCTTCAGGGCTCGTTCTGGGACGTCGTCAGTGATCTTGTGGGGGTCAGTGTTCCTCAGGGTTCTGCATACGTTGGCTGATGTCACAGTGAGCAGAGGGTCACATGGTCCATAAGTGGAACGCTACGAGGCTCAAAGCAGGCTGTTGTCGTCCGTGATGTGTCTCCACCAATCACAGGACAGCTGTTCCTCCAGCAGCCCAACAACAGTGTTTCCAGATATCTAGTGTCCTTCGTGTTCATGCACTTTAGCTTAAATTGAACTCTGTGATGAATCATCCGACTCGTCAAGCTGTAACTTTACAACCTGACAACCAACAGACAGAAGTGTGTTCAGATCAAACAGTCTGATTCTGATCACCTGATCGATCGCTGTGATCAACCTTCTGCAGCTCCTGCACGCAAACAACACAATTATCACTTTGTAATGACGGCCACGTGAGGCTTGGATCACGGTGTACCGACAGATTAACGACTTATCCATTAAATCTGACTTTTATTACACTGAACTCTGTATTATTCAGATGGAAAAAGATCACTCTGACAGATGTGAAGCTGACGACGGCTGATGGATTTATTTTCTTGGCTTCAGGGCCCAAAAAGAGTCAAGCACAAAAAGAGTGGTGAGCTCATACAGTATGTTACCTGTAGCCTCAGGTGTGTTCAGGTGTGTCTGTCAGCAGGATTTTCTCTGCAGGTTCAGACTCTGTTTGCTAAAGGTCGCAGTAATTTTCCTAATGATTGCACAACAACAAGCTGCAGCCTGCTGGAAAAACAGACGGAAAAATGTTGTTGCATTCGACACGATGAGTTTCTACAAGTTCACGAATGTTTCTTTATGAAATCTGCTCACTGACGCCTGAAGGTTCACCTGAAGGTGGCACGACATTATGCAGCAGTAACATCAAGAATTCAACCTCTGGTGATGGAATAAAGCTCAGGACGGATGATGATGAAGGTGATGGTGATGTAAATGATGATGAAGACCATGATTGTGGTGATGTTGGTGATGATGACAGTGATGATAGCAATGATGGTGATGCTGAGGAAGATAAAGAAGATGATGGAGGTGATGGTTGGTATGATGATGATGATGATGATGATGATGATGATGATGATGATGACAGTGACGATAGTGATGATGGTGATGTTGAGGAAGATGAAGGTGATGGGGAAGGTGATGATGAAGATGGCAATGATGTTAATAGTGGTGAAGATGATGATGGTGACGTTGAGGAAGAAGATGTGGTGGTGGTGAGGTTGATTATGATGATTAAGGTGATGATAATGATAATGATGATGATGATGATGATGATGATGATGATGAAGATGGTGGTGGTGGTGGTAATCATGATGAGGATGATGATGGTGCTGGGTGTCTTCCTTCAGGTCCTCAATGGGAAGAAGAGGATGGAGCTGCTTCCAGGAGACAGAGACAATCTGGCGATTCAGACGAGAGGCGGACCAGAGAAACACGAAGTGACCGGCTGGGTGCTGGTGAGTCGCCACATGTTCACAGATGTGTTCTGTAAAAATGTTACGGTTACATCTGCAGTGTTTTTGTTTACTGTGTTTTAAAGACTTTAATGCCAAACCTCATATTTAATCATAGACAGGAAGTGATGTTGTAACAGTTCACCTATTAACTCCGAGGTGACAGTGTCACAACGCTCTATATAAAGGAGAAGAGCGGATCTATGCCTCAGCAGGGTGAACATCAGACAACCTCATACATTTGTTTTGGCTCAGAGCAGCCTTTTACTTTACACACTTTACTTTTTTACCCCCCCCCGCTCACATACACAAGCGCATCCCCAGACACAACATAGCGAAACGACACGGCTGAAAAACAGTTCTTTAAGTTCAGCAAACAGCTCATGGCCCGTCCGGCTTCATATAGTTCAGCCACCACCTGCACGGCTCTGCAAGGCCGCAAACAAATGCGATGCCATCAACAGCTGGACCAACTCACGGCTCTGCGCATCAGCCCTCCGTTGAATGACGGCTCCGGTCCTCGGCAACTCCGCGAAGCGGTCCGTCCTCCCGTTCCAACACCTTTAGGTATTCCAAAAAGTTCCAACAAGCATAAATCCACACTCCGCGGCCCGGTAACTCCGGGAAACCTCCAAGTAGGCGTGTGTCGTCATCTCACTACGTGCCACCGCGCGCGTGCACTGCACTCACCTAAATAGAGGTTCATGCAAAGCCACGCCCCCAACATACATTTGACTCAGTAAACAACACCTGTTACCCCAGTGACAAAATACATCTACACTATTCACAGACAATCATAAGGCATCAGTTCACCCCTGCTGGGTGCTTATGGAGTGAGGACAGACCGGCCTTTACAATGTCACAACTGTTGGACTAATCAGAAAGATGTGTGGTTATTTCAGATCTCCCCTCTGACCAAAGAAGAAGAAGGATCTTATGAGTGTCACGCCACCAACGCCAAAGGAGAAGCTTCTGCTATCGGAGCCATTCACCTGGTCGAGTCCATCGATGACATCGTCATCAAGAAAGGTAACAGCAACGCTGATATCATCAACAACTTGACTCAGGAGAGTGAAATGTTATCATTCAGACTGTTGGACAGTAAAACAGCTTAAAAATACTCTGACTCATGATGTCATTTCCTTTCAGTGACGAAGGACGACGAACTTTGATCAGCTGGTCGGAGATCAACGAGGACAAACATCGCAGATGTTTTTTTTTTTAAACTTTCAGTGAAAATCTGAATGAAAGGGTGATTTTTTATTATTTTTTAAACTTCTGACACTTTTAACACTTTAAGTTTGAAATTATGTCTAAAGTTTGTTGTCAAACTTCAGAGATTTTTGTATAACCTTTGGATTTTAACTTCTTGCTTTAATCTTTTCTTTGTTTTTTGAACTTTTAATATTTTAAGTTTTTTGGCATTTATTATCCTTTTTATTTTCCTGACCAGATAAACCAAAAGCATCAGGCTTTTCTATTGGAAAGGCTGACAGCCAGGTGTCAGGTTGTAGGTCAACAGCAGTGAGGCAGGTCACCATAGCAACATGCAGTGAGGCAGGTCACCATAGCAACATGCAGTGAGGCAGGTCACCATGGCTACAGCAGTGAGGCAGGTTACCATGGCTACAGCAGTGAGGCAGGTTTGTTTGTGTTGTGTAGACGCTCTTCATTTCTCAGGTCTGAATGCTGAGAAACAGAAAATGTTTAATATTTTGTTTGGTTGTTGTTGTTTATTCATCGATGTTTGTTCTGCAAATGAACAAGTTTCTTTTTTTTTTTTAATGTCTCAGTCAGGACTTTTTCTGCTCTGTGACCAAAACAAAGTAAAAACAACTGATGATGAGTTCTCATCAGAATTTTAAGTATTTCTTTTCAGGTTGTATTTCTTTGAATTAAATAAAAACAGTTTTAACACTTTGTATGAAATTATTTCTTTGTTGAAGGTACTTCTTTATTATACACGTCATTTATTCTAAAGCGGAGAACTTCACTTTCAATACTTTAAGTACATAGTGTTGTCATCAGGCTACTCTCATACCTCAGCAACACGACACTATTGCTAATGTTGAGTTTTGGTATCTGATGCCAAACAGCCAACCTGCTGATACGATCTCTGATGTCATAACCTCTGATTGGGGGTTTCACATTTTGTCAAGTCAACACGATTGGCTGTCATTCGTTTTATTCAAAATGTTTTGTGTTTGCAGAGTTACAGAGATCTTTAAAACACTTTGACTTTGTCATGTGATGTCTGAATGTGAACCAATGAGGGGTCGGAAACATTTTAACATCAGAAAAACCTTTATTTCACTTTTACAAAAACGCTGCGAGACAATTTCAAACTAAAAACATCAAAACTAAACTTCTGCCGACGTCACATCGCCATCCGCAGGGAGGCACCCGATTGGTGGAGCTGCTCTATGACGTCATCATACGAGGAGCGATGCTCATCGACATCAACTCCTGGAAAAGCAGCTTACAGGCGTACGGCATCCGGACCAGAGAGATCTGAGGGACAACACAACAAACAAGATAAACAAAACGACAAGCAAAAACTATAAACATGGCAAAAAAGATAAGAAGGTAAACAATCAAGACAAAAGGGATAAACAACAAATAAACAAGTAAAATGAAAAAACAAGATAAGCAAACACAATATATATATATATATACATAAAAAGATTAAATGAACAAGACAGCCAGGGATAAACAACAAGGGAAACAAACAAACAAAAAAAGAAATAAAACAGGGAAAGAAACAAAATCTAAACAATAAGAATAACAAGACAGAAAGGGGATAAACAACATAAAGACAAACCGATTGTTTACTAATCATACTAACCAGTCTTGTCATGACTAGTTATCGACCATGTTTACCTGTGTCTTGTTGCGGCAGCCTCGACACTCGTACGTGTGCGTCCGTGTGTTGGCGATGGCCATCAGGCCACACAGGTTACAGACGTGAACCTGATACGGATCCGACGCCTCGAACAGACGTTCTCTGAGGAACTGAGCGGCTCCGTGAGCGATCTGACAGTCACGCTCCATCTCTCCGAAACGCAGACCGCCATCGCTGAGAACAGAAAGGTGGGCCAGGTGAGAATGACAGGAAGTGGACGGGTGGATGTTTGATGAAGCTCCGTGGCAGGTGGAGTCACGTGTAGGTGTTTACAGGTGGCTCAGACAGGTGGATAGGTGTGTCACTCACCGTGATCGGCCCTCCATTGGCTGCCTGTTGAGGATCTGGACGGGGCCCCGAGCCCTTGAGTGGATCTTATCGTCCACCATGTGCTTCAAACGCTGATAATATGTTGGGCCGATGAAGATCTGAGACGTCAGCTTCCTCCCAGTGAAGCCGTTATACAGAACCTGATCACAGATCAATAACCAATATCAACACCAATCCACCGACAGTAAGAGGCAGCAGGTGTGCTGTCTATCAGGTATCATCTCTATTTAAACCTAAATGTTTCTCTGCTAACAAAGACTATGACAGAAAGCTCATAACCCTGCAATATGCTGCCTTTACTGTCAGTCCGGTTATTTGAGTGTCCAAACTCAGAGCGTAAATGTTTCTGCCCTAAAACATTCCCACAATGCAACAGGTCACACTTAAAGGTAGTGAAACGGCTGCTGTTTGACTCAGCGGCTGACGATGATGATGTAAAATGAGGGTCTATAATCTGAGTGAACTGCTGAATGTTTAAGACACACGGTATCAGTCTGACCTCGTTTCCTCTCAGGTGGTATCCGTATTCAGACAGCAGGTTTGACACTTTCTGCACATTGACGGCGTCGTTAAAGGGCGTGGCGTCGCCGATTTCACCTTTGTTTGCAGAAACCTGAAAAAAACCCAGAGAAACTAACATGTAAAATACAAACGTGTTGATAAAAGAACAGACAGTGATTTAACAGCAACCTGCAAGTCAACACGCAGGGCAACAATAACCCACTTCTGCAGTACAAACCTTTTACTGACATTGTTCATTTTTTTATGATTTAATTGATTTAAATAGAACCAAATCTGCACTTTACAGTCTCACAGATGGACAGTTCTCCTGAGAGCGTAAAGTTCTAAAGGCTGACGAATGACGAACTCACTATCAGGACAACACATGTGACACTCATAGATTATTTCCAGGACGTGTTTGGTGTTGGTCACCTTTCCCTGGAGACACTCGATAAGATGGCCGACTGTCATTCTGGACGGGATGGCGTGAGGGTTGATGATGATGTCAGGTGTGATCCCTTCACAGGTGAACGGCATGTCCTTCAAAAATAAAACGCGTAAATCATCAACACGTCACTGTAAAACTCAGAGTTTGAGTCTGAGCATCATTACAGGTGGTCAGTTAGCAGGTTCATTATTTATTAGCTTGTTCCATCAGCATGTTCACCATTTTGGAGGCTAACTCTTTGGCAAACATCAGAGTTCACCTGACACACCTGAACTGCGTGCAAAGAGCTTCACCTTGTTGCCATCGCTACATAATCAAACTGGACATATATTCTGCCAAACACCTGTTTACTTCCTGTTTACCTGCTGACCTCCTGGTTAGCCATTAACCTCTTACTTCCCTGCTGACTTCCTGTGTACCTGTTTACCTCCCGTCTACCTGCGCCCTCCTGCTTACCTCTTGTCGGTACTGAATCCCACAGGTTCCTTTCTGTCCGTGTCTGCTGGCAAATTTGTCTCCAATCTGAGGAATCCGGACCGAACGAACCTACAGAAACACAAAACCAGAGGTTGAAACAAACTTCCTGTCCTCTGGATCACCTGACCTGTCAGGTGTCGCAGGTGTTGTCACCTCACCCTGATCTTGCAGAACTTGTAGCCCTCCTGGTTCAGGGTCACCATGACCTGGTCTACGATACCGGTCTCGCTGGTCCTCAGGAAGGTGCTGCAGTCTCTCTTGGTGTAGCGTCGGTTGGTGCTGTCCAGCTCGTCGTCGTTCTCCGGCAGCGTCACCGTCTTCCCGATGATCACGTCCTCTCCGGACACACGGACGCCGGGCGCGATGAGCCCGTCGTCGTCCAGCTTGTCATAGATGGCGTGTCTCATACCTGAAGTCAGATTTTGTGTGTGTGTTAAATGTGTGGTGGTGATTTTATACACCAGCTGCTACAAAAGTCCACTCAAGAGTTCCGGTTTGAAAGTATTTCTGGAGGTTGTAACAAGTTCTCACCCTGACAGGTTTCACGTGTCGGCTTCTCAAAGATCTCCTCCTGATCAAAACCTTTCTTTGACTCCTGCTCTTTGTAGGATCGATAGAAAACGGACCTGCAGGGCAAAAACAGAACGTTAAACAGAGACACTCAGGTTAACCAGTCACCTACAGGTGCAGTTGGCAGCTCACCTGAAGAAGCCTCGATCCACAGCCGACCGGTTCATGATCACAGAGTCCTCCTGGTTGTATCCCGTGTACGAGGCGATCGCCACGATGGAATTGATGCCTACAAAATAGGATTAAAGTTTCAGAACACACACAGAGTTCTAAATTTACCTGGTCTGACCTTAACTGTACAGGTGTGTGTGTGTTACCTGTAGACAGCTGTGTGTTCAAGTCTACAAGAGTGTGTTAAAGCGTACAGGTGTGTGTGTGTGTGTGTTTTACCTGCAGGTAGCTCTCTGAAGCGCAGGTACTCCATGGACCGGGTGGTGACCAGCGGTTTCTGAGGGTAGTACAACACATGAGCCAGCGTGTCCATTCGTACGTGGAAGTTGGTGATGTAGACTCCCATGGCCTGTTTACCCATAGCCGACTGATAGGTGTTCCTGGGAGACTGAATGATGAAAACAAACAAAAACAAGTCATTAGAGCTTCACGCATGGACGAGAATCCTTCATTTAGATTTAATTACGTATTTGTTCAAACACTCAGGGGCACAAGTTGAAACCAGGAGCAGGAATGTTTGTTTGTACCTGGTTGTGGTCAGGAAAGGGGATGATGGAAGCACAGACTCCGAGGATCATGGATGGGTGGATTTCACAGTGGGTGTAGGTGGAGCAGTAAGCCACACCCTTTTCCTGGAGGTCATCAGGGGTCATGGCAAGCATGACGGTCTCCTCCTCCAGAGTGTCGATGTACTCCACCACGCCGCTCGCCACCAAGTCCTGCCAGCTGATCACCAGATCAAACGAGAACATTTTGAGGGGGTGGGGCAGGACTAAAAACACCTGAACGTTGCCTCACCTGTACCTGACAGACTGCCTCACCTGTAGTTGTTGTACTCTCTCTCCTTCAGCTGGTCGATGTGTCGTCTCTTCAGCAGCAGTTTCTGTTTCTCGACGATCAGCAGCGGTCGGCAGATTCGTCCAGCGTCGGTGTAAATTCTAATCTCACGTTCTCGAATGTCTCTGATCATAGACACCTGAAGGAATCAGGAGGAGCAGAAAACGCTGAATGAACATCTGTGTCTGTTTCAGGGACACAGCTGCTGATCACCTGTTTCTTACTAGTCTGACTCAGCAGATGTGGACTTCGGGGAGGCCTGTCACTTTTTTCCAGTGAATTCTCAGTTTTCTCATTTCTTGCCTCCCTGCCTGCAAACGCTCCATCAAAATAATTCCTCTGTCACTTTTTCAAAAAAGCATCATCACTTCTTCTGGCCTTAGTTCTGCCCAGTACAACTATCTTGAATCTACAGCAGAATAATAATGAGGACCAGCAGACCACTGTCCAGCTCTGACAGATCAGAGAAGATCGGCCTCGATGTGAGAGACTAATCATCACCAAAATGGAATGTAGAGATCCAAACTTAAGGTGTGTCTCAGTGTGACGCTGCCGCCCTGTCAGCTCATTGTTTCAAGAGCTTCTTGTGTTTTTAAATGTGTTCTGTTAGTGTTCATGTGACAGGTTTTGAGATGCGTGGGCTGGTCACCTCAGACACGATGATGTCCATCTGTCTACGGAGTTTCCTCAGTGTGTTCATCAGCTGTTCTGGATCTTTGTGGATTCCGACCCAGCAGCCGTTCACAAAGATTTTAGTGGCACTGAAACGTTTAAAACAAAAAACACATGTTGCACTCACACCTGCAGATGATTGACCAACTGAAACAGACTGACAGACAGCATTGAATCAAGCTGAAGCAACTGACTCTGCAATGGCAGCCGGTGAAATCTCCTCCAGGTTCTCCATACTCCACTCCTCCAGAAACTCCAGGATGGGAGACGGCTGTGAGCCCACAGAGATGTAGGCCATCAGGGCCAAGTTCTTCACCAGACCCACAGCGTGACCCTGCAGCGGTGTAAACCAAAACACTAGTCAACATTCCTGACAAGCGTCCACGAACAACATCCTGCGGCGCTGATAAACATCCACTGTTGAACAAAGCTGCAGTTTCAGATTAAAGCTCATCTGTGGAATTAAAGATTTGGATGTTTTCATTCAGATGTTTTCACATTTTACAGTTTATATGATTCACATGTTTTGGATCCGGTATTTGGTACCTCAGGCGTCTCAGCAGGACACACCATCCCCCACAGGGTGTTGTGCAGCTGTCTGGGCTTGGCCAGTTTTCCGTCTCTGCCGATGGGAGAGTTGACTCGGCGGAGATGGGACAGGGTGGACGCGAAGGTCAGACGATTCAACACCTACAAGCATAAAAATCAGGATGATTTTCAGATGATCTGAGGAGATCCAGTTTGTCAGAGACACACTGAGATCATGTGTGATGAGGACCGAGCTGAAAATGTGTCCGTCTGCATGTGTTCTGCTCACATTCGAATACAACAAAACACTGATGAGTAACAGCTACACAGTCATAACCAACACAGATCACCTGACACAAGCTGTTCTCACCTGTGACACTCCAGCTCGTGCCTGGTGAGCCTTCTTGACGTCGCCCCAGTTTCCGGTGGCCAGCGAGTACTTGAGTCCATCTGAGATGATTCGGGTTTTAATGGCGAGCTCCAGGTTGAAGTCTTTTCCTCTGTCGATGAACTTCTGAGCGTAAATCCTGATCTCCTTCAGCAGGTTCTTAAACATCCTGAACAAACAGAACAAAACCAGTTTTAATCACACTGACAACATCTGAACATGTTTAAACCTCATACGTCTCATTTAAAGTCATGACTTCAATCCAATCAGCTCACTGATGCTGTTCTTCTGAATTTTCTGACTGCAGTTTGTCTTAATGCTGAAC